GCTTATTTAGTCCACGTGTCTGATTGATGGCAAAACTGGTGAAAAAAAAACTCTTTTTTGGAGTCTTTATGATCAAAGTTTTAAAATGAGATGTTTTGTTGTGCTTGTAAACACAGATTGATTTTTGCACTTCCATCTGGTGTTGCTAGTGGCACAGAATTGACACATTTCTCTTGCTGTTTTGTAGTTTGTAGAGTGTTATCGTGAAGCATTTTTGTATGCTATGCGAGTCCCAGGTGGAGTGAAGCTGCAGCGAGCCAAAATAGTTTTACTTAACCTCAGCCATCTCCACAGACCCAGCTGTGACTGTGATCATGTGTTTGTGTTTAATATGGAGGAAAGTGTGTGTGCTTGTTTAATATTATGTTATTCCCAAGCCTTGCGTCATTGTGCGTCATTCACAGATGCAAATATTAAGCGTGTGAGAACTTCTTTTCTAGGTGGCTGTGATGTCTGGCCATTTTGAGCTGGGAGAAATCATTAAAAACCATCGAGAATCAGACGTAGGTAAGGAGCGGAGATTTATTTTGGTTGTGCCTGTATTTTTATTCTGTTATATAATTGATTTGCCCTGCAAACTGTGTGACATTTGGGGCTTGATACTTTTGTCTCTCTTTAGCTGTGTAGTGATTCACACAGTCCCTAAGCAGTGTTCACTGCTCCTAATACACTCAGCAGGGGAAATGTTAAAGTTCACATTTTTTTAATGCTTTGCAACCTCATCAAACACAGTCGATACATGCAAATATTATGAAGTCTATTTCGCAGGACAGTATTGGGGCAATTGGAGTGTACTTCTGTCTCTTGCATCTCTTCTCTCTCTCTTTTTTTTTATTTTTATTATTTTTTTTTTTATATTGTAAATTACAAAAATTAGTCAGATACATTCAAACACCAAACAGAAATAGAAAGGTTAACAAATTTCTCCTATCATAAAATATAAACATAAAAAAACAAAAACAAATATGGATCTCTTCTCTCTCTTTATTACTATTTCTCTCCTAATTTGATGTCAGTTCCCTTTTTGGAGTCTCCGAAGTACGCCCCCCAGAGGAGGGAGAGTTCACGTACTCTTGGATTGCCCCATCCTCACCCTTTCCTGCGAGCCAACAGTGACAACAGCATGAACGTACCAGACTGGATCGCCTTTCCCAATGCTGCTGGATCGAACATTGTCTCTGTGCAGGTCATTTGTGTGTGTGTGTGTGTGTGTGTGTGTGTGTTTTCCCCCCCACCAAAATGTGTGTATATGTACACTACCATTCAACCTTTGAAAAGTAGTATATAATTAGTAATATAAATTATTTTTTTAGTGAATATAAAAAATGTGTAAAAATGTGAAAATTATACATTTAAATTAAATAAAAAAGCTATTCATTACCATTCCTGTTCATCTCAATGGGATTTAAGGAACTAACTGGGTCATACTAACCAGCCAAAACTTAAGATATTTTGTTTGACACTGTGTACAGCATAGACGTTGGCACAGCCACCCCATCTCCCTGCCCGCCCCCTAAATTCACATAAGGATTCAGTTAGGATTATGCATTAAACATTTGAATTGTTTATTAATAAACTAGTGTTTTCTGTTATTTTTTGGTTCATTTATGAGACATGCTCCAGTTCACGCACCACCACCTCTGTTTCTTAATTATATTGTTTACAGTATTTGCTTCTTGTTTATTAATCTAGTCAATTTGTTGATGAAAACATTGATTAAAATGAATATACAATTTAGACAAAACAAAATTCACTTAAAACAAAATTTAATAAGTGATCAGATTTATGTCTGACCCATTCCAAATGTTTTCCGATATATGGTGACTCAAGCACTGATGGACAAAAGAGCGCGCATCTCAAAATTTACAGTAAAAACTTAAAATATAAATTCTCAGAAAATGCATTTAATACCAATATATTGAAATAAAGATAATAATAAATTAAGACATTAATAAAGAAGTCCAGACGTTGGAAAAATATCAATCCATATGTGCGTTATATTTAACATGAGGGAAATAGACATGCATGTGTGACACAAAAAATCTTTAACTTTTAGGTAGCAAAATATTTTTTAGAAAATTTAACTAGAGTAACGTCACTCCTAAATCATAAAATTTCACACATCCACCATCCCTTGAGTTTTATTAAAAATCTTTACATTTTAGGTGTAGCTAAATATTTTTTAGTAATTCTGTCATGTTAGATTACATTGAAGGTAAATTGGAGCGACCACACTGTGCTGTGCGTAACGCCCACAGACGTGAAGTGAACGAGACAGAGGCTGTCCAGTACTGACCGAAACTCTGTGTTGATCCATGTGCAAAACAGATTTAACTAATCATAAAGTCAATCAGGATACATAACATAGCCTACTATAGGCCTACCTACACTAAAAAGGCCTGCACCCCACCTCTCACAATATAGTTCCCACGTCCCTGGTGTACAGTTTTTTTTTACTCTTTTGATTTGCACAAAAATTACCCATAGATTTTTTGCATTGCACAAACTTGCATTGTTACTCTACTTCTCCTTGTATTTATGTGTATCTGTCAGGGTCCAAAGCATGGCGGCACCTTGCGTAGTTCCAGCAGTCCCCGTGGAGCACGAACCCGTTCCCCATCCCGTGGCCGAACAGGTGACAGAGACGATCGGAGCCGGCAAACGCGTGGAAGACAAGGGTGAGAGAGTAAAAAAGGTTATAGCTCGTCATTCAGTGCCTATGCCAACTCTACGCCTAAATCATCATCAATATTCACATCTTCATTTCGATATAAAGACGGATACCGGACTGAGCAGAGCCGGTAATAATAAATGTGCATAAAAAGAATGTTAATCCTGTTGTCTGATATGTGTGCCTTTGTACAGAGCGGGCTCCATCAGTAGTCAGGGCACTGCAAGCGGGCAGCGGCGGCGTCTCTACAGTGCCGTGCCTGGCCGTGTGTTTGTGGCCACCCGCTCGCATTCGGCCCAGGGGGACCGTGAGATCAGCTTCAACAAGGGAGACAAAGTCAAAGGTGAATGTGTGTGTGTGTGTGTGTGACTCTTTGTGGACAGGAGCAATGATATACTGTCTGTCGACAGGAGTGCCATTAAGTGTGTGTTTGTTTCTGTATGTTTTTCACACAGGTGTGGATAAACGTTGTCTGTGTATGTATTCTGGTGATATGTGTTGGTATGTCAGTATATGTATGTTTGTGAGAAATGTCAACTTGCATGCAAGTTTGTGTGTGTGTCATGTTTAGATCCGTCACCATAGCTTGCATATATGCATGTCCTATCATACATTAGTAAACTTTTAAGTGATGGTGACTTTGCATGTGATTTGGGATTTAATGTGTGTGTGTGTGTGTTTATCAGGGGTGTCTTGCATCTATGTATTACTGTTTTTACTGTATTTATGATCAAATAAATGCAGCCTTGGTGAGCGTAAGAGACTTCTTTAAACGATTTACAGACCCCAAGATTTTGAACAGTAGTAAAAATACGAATGTATAGTAATGTAATTCGATGGATATAAATATGTTGGTTACGCTCCCTTTTACAGTACAGTACTTGCAGTGTACTTACCTAGAAAGTACTGGCTAATATAAGGTAAGTACATGGAACAGGGGTAGGTTCAGGGTTAGTACTAGTTATTACCCAGTAATTGTAGTTACTAAAATAAGTACGTAGTATTTACATGGGTAACTGGACTGTAAAAGGAAGCGTTACCAATTTCTCTGGCTCATAAAGCCAAATCCATCATTGAGCTAGAATTAAATCTCTGATCATTTTAGACACATACATATAAGTGTTTGAATATACTCAAGGGTTAGTTCACCCAAATAGGGGGAAATTCTGTCATTAATTACTCATCCTCATGCTGTTCCAAACCCATAAGTTTTTCATTCATCTTCAGAACACAAATCTTTTTGATAAAATCTGAAATATTTCTGTCTCTCTATTGACAGCTGTGCAACTAAAACTTTGATGCTTCAAAAAGTTCATAAAGAAATTGTAAAGAGAAACCTGTTTCAAACCTGTTTTTTAAACAAACGGTTCAATCAAGATTTTCTGAAAAGACTCGATCACTTTGTATGATGAACAGATTGAATTTAGACTTTTACTCGCATATAAACATTGATCAGTGAACATAAACAAGCTGAAGTCAACCTGCTTTTGATGCTCAAGAACAAAACTCTTGCAGAGCTCAAATGTGCTACCTCAGTGGTTCTTGCACGTCAAGTGTGAGTTGATGAATGTTTATATGTGAATAAAAGCTTTAATTAAATCTGTTCATCGTGTACTGTAAAGCGATCGAGTCTCTTCAGACATTTTGGACTAATCCGCTCAAGTCATATGGATTAGTTTTACGATCTGAACTTTTTGAAGTGTAGCTATCCCCCAAAGAGGGTCAGAAAGCTCTCAGATTTTATCAAAAAGATCTTAATTTGTGTTGCGAACGAAAGTCTTACTGGTTTGGAACATCATGAGGGTAAGTAATTATTGACAGAGTTTTCGTTTTTGGTTGAACTAATTTCAAAAACTCTGTCTGACAAAAATAGAAACTCTGCCCAACATTTTCTGTATGGAACAGTCATGGAAAAGTCATGGAAACTAATGGTCGAAAAGGATGTGAACCATGCTTAGAGCTATGTATGAAAAAATGACGTATAGAAATAAAGTTTTAAGTAAATAATCGGTGTAAACTCAATTGGACGGAACAAACATAGACTCTTAAATGAGTGATTTCTGTCACAGCATTTTAGATAAACATTTTTTGCCTGTTTCTCGGTCATGACGCTTCTGGTCTATATACTGTATATTTGTGGCTGTACACTGTTCATACGTTTACTGCTCACATACACACACACTGTTGTTTCTCTTTTGATTCTCTCAGTGCTGAGCGTGGGTGAAGGAGGCTACTGGGAGGGGACGGTTCGAGGGCGCACCGGCTGGTTTCCATCTGATTGCGTGGAGGAGGTGGCTCACCGCAGTCTGGAGTCTCGTTCAGGTGAGACTCCTCTCTCACACGCACACACATTACACGCACGTTATAAGTATCAAAGAACTACACTCGGAGCTGTCATTTTGATTGTCCCAGATGTAGTTGAAGGACAGTCGGACTGCCACAGCTTCTCTGTGATGTCAGACTTGTGAGGGAGAGCAGCTATGATGACTATTAATAGTTTACAGCACTCTACTGGAGTGTGAGAGAGGCCGATTGTGCCATTTCACGCTGGCTAAACTCGCCGTGGTTTGGGCCACCACGCTCTGTCAGAGTGGGAAACTTCAAGTCGGACATATGTTTTCTTGTCATGCTGTAGTTAGACCCTCATACACACAAACTCGTGATGATGTGGATGCGGTTGTGTTTGCGTCTTTCAGAGAGCCGCAGTGAGAGAGCCAAGCGACTCTTCCGACATTACACCGTTGGATCTTACGACAGCTTTGACGCGCCCAGGTAAGAACAATTTTACAATTTTTATGTCGGTGCTTTGCTGATATGTTGTAATGAAGGACTTACTGGTAAGAAGACCAGTTTAGATGTAGTTTATCCTAGTTTAGCTAGTGGTCTGGCATAAAATACAGAATGAAATACAAAAATTGGTGGTCAAAAGAAATTTTGCCGTTTAATGTAGTTAAGAAATGTCCAAATCTAGAGATTCTTTTCTCTCAACTGTCAACAATCTAAAGAGATGTGCGTACTTTATTACTGAATGAGTTTCTGTTGTGCACGTGGAGAGTTTTCTGTCGGTTCTTCTGAACTGCTCGCGTTGGCATCAACTCACCTGAGGAGGCCTTGGCGCCTTTTCTCGCACTGCTGTGAGTGTGAGTGAGTGATAGACTGACAGGCATTGAGATGCCAGCATGTGATTCATGCATCACAATGTTTGCGGTCTGTGAAGCCTGTTTCAGAAATAAGATGCAAGTTTGTTGTGTTAAATTAATTTCAGAATTAAATAGCTGAGGTTGACATTGAAGAATGGGATGTGTCACTTCAATGGTTTAAGTACAGCATAATTCATAAAGTATTTAATGTAAAGCGATACATGCATTGATTGTAATTCTCGAATAAATTTGAATTACAGGTTACAAATTGTTGAGATATTCTGTAAATATTCTGTATTATGTAAATCCAGCGTTACTCTTGCTGAGGGTAATGACTGAAAGTGGTTTGTCCAATAGTGTGAAGGAGAATTGTACGTAATTGAACAATTGGGGCGTGCGAGAACTTGAGATCTTCAGAGAACGATCAAAGCAATGTAGACACGTCCATAGAATGTATGAGGGCTGCAGAGACCATGCCAATATCAAAACAAAGCCAAATCCTGGCCAGATAGACATTTCCAGGAAAAAGAGGACATACAGAATGCTCACACTACCTTATTTTGTTACAAACCTTAACTTTCTTTCTTCTGCGGAACACCAAAAAAGATGTTTTGAAGAATGTTAGTTACCAAACAGTTTGAGAGACCATTGACTTCCATTGTATGGAAACACTGAGACGTTTCTCAAAATATATTCCCAAATTGAGATTTATGTTATGTTACTATCCATTTAAGATCCACCACAACTAAAAAAATATTTTCAAATAATTTAGGTTTAAATAAGTTCAAATAAGTTAGTTTAAAATGTAACATTTTAAATAAGTCTTTTATATACAGAGCCCCTAAAGGGACTGGAAAAGGGGTTGGAAAAATTATAAAATGGGAGGAATTGTTTTGTTTGTTTTTTTGCATCTTTGCATTGGCTCTCAAAATGTTTGCAATCTCTAAAGAAACTTTGCCTTCATTGGCAAAATTTCTGCATTCTTTCGAAGGGAATTCAAAGGTATTGTGAGCAAATGCACAGTTTCTTTGGAGAACGCAAAAGTTTAGCAAAAGAACACAAAAGCATTGAAATACATTTTGTCCTACCATCTCATATTTTTTTTACAAAACAGATTGTTTCAAAGCAGCTTTACAGGAAAATAGGAAATAATGTACTATGGACCTTTCTTTTTGAGTCCTGAATAAAGTCATATCAATGCAACAACGTTTGTTTCGGTTGTTCAACAGATCTAGAAGAAAACCGTGTCATAGTCCAACTTAAGTTCAATGATGGTTCATTTTTGTTGTAAAAAGGTTATTCATTTAGTTAATTTACATACTTATAGCCTCTCTGAAGAAAACAATGATGTCATCCTCCAGTTCTGTTCTCTCATAATATAATGTCAATGCAGGCAGATCAATAATATTGTTGAATATTAAGTGGCCCCAACTAAGCAAGCCAAAAGCCAAAGGCAACAGTGGCAAGGATCCAAAACTCCATCAGGTGACAGAATGGAGGAAAAAAAAAAAACCTTGGGAGAAACCATATAGAATTAATTCTAAATATATCTAAAGTTTTTATTTTAGACATTTTGACCTGGAAAAGCTCAAGTTAAAAGTTGTTCAGCTTTTAAAATCGTGGGGGGGGGGGGGGGGGGGGTTTCCCCACAAAAATAGACCCCAGTCTTGAGTAATCTACTTTTGTAGCATGGTTCTCTTAAAATTTGATATCTACTCAGGGCCATCTCCAGGGGCTTGGGAAAACGAGGTGACTGGCTGAAGTCCTTTATGTTATAGCCTGGGGCAGTAGGGTGGGTCTAAAAATATTGTCCCAGCCCCTTTGAATTTAAATGACAGCCCCATGAAACTGAAGACTGTAATATCTGTTTTTGATTACCATATTGTAATCTCATTCTCTCTCTCAGTCTGTCTAGCTGTCTGTGAGCCACGTGCTGGTAAATTAACACCACTGAGCTCTTTTCATTAGCGCCTCACAGTAAACAAAGCTGCTTCATGTGATGTCATTCTGTCCCAGTTATGGAGAGAGCTTACACTCACCTCATCCCAGTAGCCTGTAATACAAGGGACAATACAAGCACAACAAATTATTTACATACTAACATACGCATTACAAGTCACACATGATTATTTATTCTCAGAATCTCGCTGGACACACACACTTGCTTCTTAAGATCCACATTGATCTTTTCTGTTTCCAAGTATATTTTCACCCCTCTATTTTTGGATTCCTCGCTCCCTTCATCCCGCTTTCACTCTCCCTTGCGCTCCCTCTCTCTCTTTTAATTCCTCCCATTTTACTAACCCCCTGCACTCTTTCATTTTCTCTCCATCACCCTCCCACCCCTGTGGTGACTCCATCTGGAGGTCAGACTATGAAGGGCACTAAAGAGGAAGAGAGAGAAATATATGGATGAATGAATGGATGCAGAAGCATCTTGCAACTATTGACAACTATCAACTTTTTGGCACCTTAGTAAGTCTTTTTAACATGCAAGGGGACCCTAAGTGTATACATACTTTTACAGCATTTATTAATCTAGATTAATGTTTCTACATATTCTAGAAAACTTTTCCACTTTTACATTTAATTCATTTTAAGGTTAATACTAGTTCATGTATTATCAATGAACATCAAATAACAATAAACACACTTTATATTGGTAAATTAATATGAACCTACTCTGCATCATCCTTCTGTGCTCCTTGTCTTCTTTGGTCCGTGCACACTCATTTGTGTCACAATTCCAGCGCCCTTGTCCCTGAGCGCCCTGCTGTACTCTCTTTTTCCCTTTCCAACGCACGTGATCTCTTTATAGGACAGTGATCTGTGAAATAGGGTCAAGGACGTACATTATTATTTTAGGTAAAAGTTCACCGAATGATTCCTGTGCGGTCTTCACTAAAAATGTCCCAGCAAGTTTTCTGGCATTAAGAACACGTGTACAAATACATACTGTACTGTACAGGCACACATACGCCTTCTGCCACTATCCACACTTCCTTACCCCCTCTATTCCTGCTGCTTCTCCCTCTCTTTTGCTCACTCTCGCTCTTTCTCTCCTACTCTCTCTCTCTCACTCTCTTCATCACACACATGCTCTGAATGAACAGCGGTGTGGTGTAGTACCATGTACCATGCTGGAGGATAGAAAGAGTGTGAGAGTTGTAGAAAGAGGAAGAATAGGGCAGTAGATTGCGGATCCAGCAATGCCGTAGAGAGCGAAGGAGGCAGAGGGAGACGGAGGGGGAGGGCAAAGAGGACCAACATCGACATCCAACGAAAGAGGCTTTGACAGAGATGATGTGAGTTTTTGCTTTCTCTCCCCTTTAGCTTACTCTTTCTCTTGTTCATGTCTCTCTCTTCCCGGTTCTCTCATCCCTGACCGTTTTCCTCCTGAGCGATGGAGATGTGCGGCTGTGTTTCCCTCTTTTTCGATTCCCTTGCTCTCTCTCTCCTCCTGCATTCATAGGTTCCGCTTTGTTTACAGACATTGTTAAAGGAGGGGGAGGTGACAAGGGTAGGGGGAGGGGTCTTTCTCTACCTTCTTGCGTTTGCGTTGTCCAGTGGGAACATTGTGTGTTTGGTTTTAAATGGATTGTTCACACTAAAATTATGATTCTGTCATTATGCATTCGCCATCATGTTTTTTAGAAACCCTATGAGAAGTTTAGGAAAATGTCTGAGGTGCTCGCTTCCATTTACATTTGGAAGTGAATGGGGACTCTACACTTTAAAAAGTGGTAACCTAAAATTGTTACGTTAAAGAGATATTGCGTCCTGATTTAATCCCAAAACGATATTTATTAATGTTTTTGACTTGGAAAAATCCAGTTAATTTAAATTAACTTGCGTTTTGTTTTCAGTGTATGGCACTGGTTCTCAATCATGGGGCTAAGGGCCACTAAAGGACATCAGCTAACCTTTAATGGAGCCTCAATATGACTTAAAATGACAAAATTTGCTGTAAAATCAGCTAAAACATGATACTTTGGATTATCATTCACCTACTAACCAATTGTTTGCGTTCTTTGATGAACCAGGATTCCCCCAGTCTTGAAAAACATGGATATATGAGTTAGCCTAATTTTGAAAGTGAGATTTCTTGACCCGGTAAAGTGACATAAATTTAACCAAAATATTTAATATTCAAAATACCAAAAATATTTGATCGGGTAGAAATTGCAAGTACAAAATATTTGTTTTAAGAATCATTTTTTTATCTTAATTCAATAAATCATAAACCAACGAAAAGTCATGAAAATTAATGGGTTTACAATATTGGGAACCCTTAAGAACAAGCTCTTAAAACTTCTTGCAGTTTTGTTTGCAGAAAGTGTCGGCTCTTTGAATAATGTTGGGGAGTCCAAAAGGTTGAAAACTACTGCGCAGGGGCTGTCAAGCTCAAAACTCCATTAAATGTGCACTACTTGTGTACTAAGTCATCTGATGCCATATAAGATTTGCATATACAACTCTCTGAGTGTTTGGGAGGTTGAGCGAATATGAGAAATTTCTTTACTGCCCCAGTACTTCAGAAATCCATTTATACATGTGTATTAAACATGGCACAATGGCCTTCTTCATCACAGTATGCTAATGCCTGTTTATTGCAAGGGCTTCATCAGTATGCTGTTTGAGGACTGTTGGGACACATCTGTACCATTTGCTTTACATGAGTCACATTCTTTCTATTACTATTTATCTAGGCATACTTGTGTGTTCTAACATAACTGTCTTGTTTGGTCTGAGAGCTTATAAACTGAATCGAAAGGTGGTTAACTTACAGTAATAGAGATTAGGCCAATCCTGATGTACAATCTAGGCACAATTGCTTAAACATGCATTAAGAAATGTTAATGTTCTTCTCCTCCCCCTCTTGATCACCAATCATTTGCCATATCTTTTGGTTTCTTGTCAGTTGGCTTTTGTGTTGGTATTTCGCTCATGTTTAACAATGCTTAGCTCAGGGTATTAGAAGGAAAGATAACTGTTGGTTGGGGAGAAAGGCTTTAACCCTGCCACTGTTGCACACCGTAACCTCAAACTACAAGAAAGGCTTTTACGCCTTCTCCTGCTCTGCAGTCCGTTATTTGGTACAGCTATATTTTTCTATACAGGATTTTGTTCCATTCTACTTTCTGTATATTTAAACATGTTACATAATAAATAACTTTGCCTGCTTTAAACACTTTCAGAATCGTACACTGATAATCTTTTACACTGATAATGTTGAAAGCTAAAGTGATCGTAACTTTTGTTATTTAAGCATTCAAGTTAAATGCTATGTTTTATCAGAAAGGGCAGAAAGGGACAGAGTGTGATAGATGTGGGAGGACAAGCAGAGAAAGAGGAAGGAACAAAGGTCAGATGGACAGAAGGCAGAAGAGGAAGCAGATGGGTGTGGAAGTGTGTGCATCTGCCACGGTGCAGAGACAGGAACAGAGCAACAAGTTTAGAGAAGGACAAAAATACAACACAGAAAAGGGCAATACCCACTTTAAGAGCCAGTAAGTGTAGTGCAAGTAAACCAGGTAGTGTAAGTAAACAGATCCACTTGGCTCTGTCAAGTGAGATTATTATTAATCTCTCTTACTCTTATTGCTTATTGCTGACAGACAGTGATTACTCAACTGCGTACCAATAGTAGCATGCGAGGCTAATGCCGCTGCCCCATGGTATTCTTATTAACATGTAGAGACTCAATGTAAAAACATTGAGCTCAGTAACACACCAATGACTTTTAGACAGTTAATTTATTTTATGTAATTATGTGAATTATTTAATTCAATTATCATTATAAATCATGCTTAACTCTGCACAAAATACTTTTTGTGTTCTTTGATACATTTAAAGTTTAACATCTTAAATAGACAATGCCTTTCATTCTTGAAAGTTTTATGGTAACTTTATTTCATTAATGCTTTTAGAGAACATTTTGGAATGTAACTCCAGTCCTAATACTTAGTTTTGAATTTTGTGGCTATTAGTCAATTAGAAAAATTATGTTGTAAACAAAAGTATTTTTGTATTGTTGATGTTTTGCCAAGACATGATCTTATCTATTTAAAATGTAAATGTTATGTAAATAGAAAGCTATTTTGACTTAAACTTAAATTTTTTATAATGTTACAAAAGATTTCTTTATAATGTTACATTTATAGTGTTACTAAAAGATTATTCAACATTGATAGTAATAAGAACTGTTTCTTGAGCACCAAAACAGCATATTATAATGAATTCTGAAGGATCATGTTACACTAAAGACTGGAGTTTAATGATGCCGAAAATTCAGCTTTCCCATCACAGAAATACACTCACCTAAAGGATTATTAGGAATAGGAACACCATACTAATACTGTGTTTGACCCCCTTTCGCCTTCACAACTGCCTTAATTCTCAACAAGGTGCTGAAAGCATTCTTTAGAAATGTTGGCCCATATTGATAGGATAGCATCTTGCAGTTGATGGAGATTTGTGGGATGCACATTCAGGGCACGAAGCTCCCGTTCCCCCACATCCCAAAGATGCTCTATTGGGTTGAGATCTGGTGACTGTGGGGGTCATTTGAGTACAGTGAACTCATTGTCATGTTCAAGAAATCAATTTGAAATGATTTGAGCTTTGTGACATGGTGCATTATCCTGCTGGAGGTAGCCATCAGAGGATGGGTACATGGTGGCCATAAAGGGATGGACATGGTTCAGAAACAATGCTCAGGTAGGCTGTGACATTTAAATGATGTACAATTGGCACTAAGGGGCCTAAAGTGTGCCAAAAAAAACATCCCCCACACCATTACACCACCAGCCTGCACAGTGGTAACAAGTCATGATGGATCCATGTTCTCATTCTGTTTACACCAAATTCTGACTCTACCATCTGAATGTCTCAACAGAAATCGAGACTCATCAGACCAGGCAACATTTTTCCAGTCTTCAGCTGTCCAATTTTGGTGAATTCTTGCAAATTGTAGCCTCTTTTTCCTATTTGTAGTGGAGATGAGTGGTATCTGGTGGGGTCTTCTCTGCTGCTGTAGCCCATCCGCCAAAAGGTTGTGCATGTTGTGGCTTCTCAAATTCATTGCTACATACCTCGGTTGTAACGAGTGGTTATTTGAGTCAAAGTTGCTCTTCTATGATCTTGAATCAGTCGGCCCATTCTCCTCTGACCTCCAGCATCAACAAGGCATTTTCACCCACAGGACTGCCGCATACTTGATGTTTTTCCCTCTTCACACCATTCTTTGTAAACCCTAGAAACGGTTGTGCGTGAAAATCCCAGTAACTGAGCAGATTGTGAAATACTCAGACCAGTCCGTCTGGCACCAACAACCATGTCATGCTCAAAATTGTGAAATCGCCTTTCTTTCCCATTCTGACATTCAGTTTGGAGTTCAGGAGATTGTCTTGACCAGGACCACACCCCTAAATGCATTGAAGCAACTGCCCTGTGATTGGTTGATTAGATAATTGCATTAATGAGAAATTAAACAGGTGTTCCTAATAATCCTTTAGGTGAGTGTATATAACATTTGAAAATATAACTAGAAAACAGACTGCTGCATTACATGTCAATCAGTGTACAATTAATCCAACGATTGTGAATCAGGTGTGGCCACAGGGAATGTCTTTGAAAAATCAAAAAACAATGTTCATTCAGAAGCTTGTGATTTTGATGATGTAATAAGCGGATGTTGGTTCAGAGCTGTAGTGCTCCACGGCTACCCGACAAGAGCACTAGAGAGTGCTCCATCTCTCTCTTTCTCTCTTGTTCGTTTCCTGTCTCTCTCTATCTCTCAAACGCTGCTGCCAGTTTTATGAATGGGAAAACAGTGACTAGTGGAGGCAGTGATAGAAACATAGCTCTGTTCAACTCACATGGGTGCTGAAGAAGAGAGGACGAGGCAGATGTGTACATGTGACGGGTATCTTACCCTGGTGAAACTGGTGCTTGGCATTTCAATTGCACCTTCCCAACGGTTTGACCCTCCTATACTGTAGGCAGCTGGTGTGCGTAAATGCACGCATTAGGCATGTGCCATTTTTTCCCTACATTAGCAGGACGCCTTTGACCGGTACATGCAGGTTTTTTTCGGCATCTCACGCCCTGAGTGTTGTTGCGTTTTTGAGGTGCAATGACGAAAAATGCTTCTCGAGGCACCTGCGTTTCTTTCCAAGTTTTATTAAAATGCAAAAATGTGTCCTGTTTGAACAGTCCCTTTAGCATCCTTTACATTCAATGCATGCATTAGCTAATCAGCAAACAAACTCAGTCACCTCAAGCTCCTCTCCCTCTCCCTCTGTGTCCCTTCAACAAATTACATCATTTCTGTCCTCTTTCATGCTGAACCATGTCTTCCAAGCACACATTCTCTCTCTGTCCCTCTATCTCGCCCTCCCTCCCTCCCTCTCTTTCTCCTTGCCTCGCTCACTCTCTCCCTCCTCCTCTGTCGCAGTCACAGTGAACCATCGCTCTCTCTC